CATGGCTGCACATTCATTTTTTACAGCAGGCTCCTCACTTCAGTTCTTAGTGTGGGCTTCTTCACACCATCCATGGATTGTTCAAATTGCCCCACAGCCATGGATCTTGTGGATTGTCCTCATGAAATGTATGTGTGAGAGACAGAATGTCCTCTCCTACACAGCCCCTTGCAAAAATGACCAATTTTAAAAAGAGCTAAGGCTCCTAACAAAATATTTACCCATTTAGAAAAGGATGGGAGAATGAAATTAACACCCCAGCAACTTCTATACCCTGGAGTGCAGAGGTCCTCTCCCAAGTAAAGCTGTGCTTGAACATTTTGCAGGAATGGCTTCACTCAATCTACAATCCACATCCTCCTCACCTTTCAGAAACTAACATGGCTTCACATTAATTGTAGAAAGTAGGTTCCTTACTGAGGTTCTCAGCATGGTTTTCTTCACATAGTCCCTGGCTTCTTTAAATGGCGCAAAACCTTAGATATTCTTGATTGTCCTTCTTTCTTGCCTGTGGAAACATATATTGTATATCATCTTGTTTCTCATATGTGGATAATAATATTTCTCAGTGTTTATGCATTGAAGCCATCTTTCAAATCATCCCCTTTCCCACTTGTGTTAAATCAAGGTGCACAGTATGAAGGACAGGCCACATTATTTGTACACTGAAGGGAGAAAATACTACACATCCCTCTTTGGGAGCCAAACTATTACATAAAATAATTTATTGTCCCTGCTTGACACCTGAATTGGCTTTCTTTCTCTGCATCGTAGCATGGCTGCCCTAGACTTGTGAATCAGGAACAAACTAAGGAAAACTTTACTTCTACAGCAAAAGATGGAAAGAAAATAGAAACTAAAGGTCACCTGAATGGCTGACTCCTTGTTCAAGAACTTGTGTTCTCCTGTTGTCTGGCATTCCTCATGAGCATCTAGATAAAAATTAAAGATGTTGATTTTTCTTTCTTTCTTTCTTCATTTAGTTGCTCAATCTCATAGGCTGAGCTAGAGCTTGGGAAAATTACTTCCATTTCTCAGAATTCCCAGATGGGGATGGCCACTGGCCATCCTGAACCAAGGTTTCTGGGAGTTGTGGTCCAAAAAAGCTCTGAGGGAAATGTGCTCTGTGAAGCACACACAATAGGTAGGAAAGTACTAGGAAAACCTTCTCTATAAATCCTTCTAATAGCTCCCCACTCTTAAAAGATCAGTTTTATTGTCCTTTTATGGCAAGGCATATCCAGCTTCTGGTGACCCTGATAGGATTTGTGAAGTACATAAGATTTTCCAGGAATGGTTTACCTTTGCTATTCTCCAGAAAATTTTGAAGGCCAAGGAGGGATTTGAACCCAGGTCTCCTGAGTCATAGTCCAATGCTTTATCTGCTATACCACATTGGCCCTGAAAAATTAATTCCACTCCCCCCCATCCAACCTTTTCCTTTCTCTGTCCTGAAGATCCATGCTAACCATGTTAAGGCTCAGCCTGACTGTTAACTGTCACATAGTTTGCAGAGAAACAAGAACTCTCCAGATTGTGACCTCATTCTGACCTCAGAGAATTCTGTTTCTGTTTGGCTGGGATTGTATCCATGCCAACTGTAAGAACCCATCAATTCTTGTGATTATAGAACCATCAATATGAACCTTCAGCAAAGGAGAGTGTTGGTCTTGTAATGGACCTGAAGAACAATCTATACTGACCTATGCCTATAGTGACAGGGGATTCTGGGAGCCGTAGTCCAAAATGGAAACAGTTACCAAGCTCTGCTTGGAAAGTTTTTAGGAGCCATCACATTGCCTTTGACGTATGACAACCTTATGGATGAGTGACTTCCAACATGGTGTAAACTGTCCTCTCACACTCTGGGGTGGTATATAGGTCAAAAATACAAACAAGATATCCTGTTGTTAACATACATCCTTTGGTGTTGCTGGTTCTCCTTATGAAATGTTGGTTTGCAGGAGCACATTGCTAATCATCAGATGTTTGGGGGAAGCTCTGTTGGACTGAGAAGACTTTGGAATACAAATAAATAATATGATTATTGTTTGAAGGACACGTTGCAAGTGTCTTTGCCTGAAGCAGAATGTCTGCTACCAAGCCCAGCCAGCTGAAATGCCAGGACCAGATTGCCCATGGGGAGCATCAGCTGGCAGAGCTGCTCTTGGAAATAAAGAGTCAGGATGAAGACTACAAAGCACTCCTGGATGTTAAAATGCCAGCTGGAGCAAGAGATCCAGACATACCGCAGCCTGCTAGAAGGGCAGGGAGGCCATGTGTACGTAGGTTATAGATGGTTCAAAACTGAGTAGAAACGGCTGGCTCTTTCTGGGTCCCTTCAGGACATGGTGGGAAAACAGAGAGAAATGGGCTAAGCTACAGTACTTTTAACTTCAGACCCATCACTTCCCAGCTTCAGCCCTGCCTGATGCCAGCATATAGGCCCCAACATATGACTCTCAAACACCTTTTCTGGGGGCAATGATGGCTCATGAATTGATGAGGATGTCCCTTTGCTATACCTGAAGAAATGAGGCCCCTGACATAAAAATGACAGACTAGGAGTCAGGAAACCTGGGATCAAATCCCTCCTCAGCTATGGAAACTCACAGGGGGTAGGGGTGACACTGGTAAAAACCGCTTCTTAAATATCTCACTTACCTTAAAAGTTCTATTAGGGCCACTATAAGTATAAAATAAAACAAATCTTTTTTTTCAATGGGGACATAACTGATCAAAGCACTACAACATTTTCCTAATTCCTGGCCCACTGAAGCACCTTCTGTGAAAAAGCTTACAGTTTCCACATAGTCCTAAATCGAATTCGAATCTGCATGTATAATTATGAATTAATAAGTGTCTTGCTTGTGTTGATCTTTTCCTTTTCATTTCTTGCTTCTGGTAGCTACTTTGCTTTTAGCTAATCCAAACAGCTTGTTTCATGTTAATCTTTGTAGCAGCTGCTTAATTATTCCACTTGTTTCTAATGCAGGCTTTGCTGGTTGCGAATGAGCCTGTAAAGCTGCTCAATCAGTTTTGGCAATGAGAAGGTAATGACCGAATGGGAAATTACATTGAGCAGCTGCTGCAAAAGGACAGGTTGTTTTTGCCCTGCTCTTTTGACGTCATCCCACTTGCCGGACTCTCCTATAAAAGTGTCAAAGGCATAACAAGTTTCAAAATGTCATATTATGTTATACTACTGCTACTGCTACACGTAGCCTTTGTGATGTACAAGATGTGCACATCAGTAGACTTTTCTCCCTTGCTATTGTCTATCAGGTATCCTCTGAGTATCCAGTGAATACTGTGATCATCGTACTCAGCACCATCTTCATTTTCTTGTCTGCTATGACATGGACATCAGTCCTGAGTCCCTTTAGGCACCACACCAGGCAGATAATGGACCTAACTCTCCTGTAGCCCCATCCAGCCTGGCATGCTGGTTAGGTATGCACAGGAAGAGAAAATAGTCATAGCTCCATATCTCACAGGCTGCATATCTGAGCTCCCTAGCTGATTTCCTGGCAGAAGCTAAGCCTGGAAAACCTAATCATGGTTTGCTGATTGTTGAGAAGGGTAGGTGTCAAGGGGAGACAGACAAGATAGAAATTAAACAAACAACTTGTACCACCTCGCTCTAGGTCTCACCAGAGAATAGAATGCAAACTTGCATAGAATCTGTGTTTGTGCATTTGTTTCTGTGGGTGCGTTTTAGGAAATGATTTGTTGTTGTTGTTGTTTAGGTGTTAAGACATGTCTGACTCTTCATGCCCCCATGGACCAGAGCACTATAGGCGCTCTCCTGGAGTTTGGTCAAATTCATGTTGGTAGCTTCGATGACACTGTCCACCCATCTTGTCCTCTGTCCTTCCCTTCTCCTCTTGCCTTCACACTTTCCCAACATCAGGGTCTCTTCCAGGGAGATTTTTCTTCTCATGAGATGGCCAAAGTATTGAAGTCTCAGCTTCAGGATCTGTCCTTCCAGTGAGCACTCAGGGTTGATTTCCTTTAAAATGGATAGGTATGATCTCCTTGCAATCCAGGGGACTCTTAACTGCCTCCTCCAGCACCACAATTCAAAAGCATCATTTCTTCAGTGGTCAGCCTTCTTTCTTTGTGGTCCAGCTCTCACTTCTATACATCGCTACTGGAAAAACCATCGCTTTGACTATGCGGATTCTTGTCGGCAAGGTGATGTCTCTGCTTTTTAAGATGCTGTCTTGTTTTGTCATCACTTTCATCCCAAGAAGCAGGCGTCTTTTAATTTTGTGGCTGCTGTCCCCATCTGCAGTGATCATGGAGCCCAAGAAAGTAAAATCTGTCACTACCTCCATATCTTCCCCTTTTATTTTCCAGGAGGTGATGGTACCAGTGGCCATGATCTCAGGTTTTTTATGTTGAGTTTCAAACCATTTTTGTGGTCTCCTCTTTCACCCTCATTAAGAGGTTCTTTAATTCCTGCTCACTTTCTACCATCAGAGTGATATCATCTGCATATTGGAGGTTGTTGATATTTCTTCCGGCAATCTTAATTCCAGCTAATCATCCAGTAAATGATTAGCATCACTTAAACAGCAATATAACACCTCTCACCACAGCTGTGGGAAGACTGTTGACAGGTGTCTTGTGTGTCTGTTGAGTCTGTTCTCCAGATTCTTACCACTGGTGGACATTAGCAAGGCCTTCTGATCCCTTCCTAAGTCCCCTTCTCTTTAAACAGGTTTTGGACTGGTGAGCCCTTCAAATAGGGGACCATCCTCTCTAAAGTAGGACATACAACCACCCTATGAGAAACACAACATTTTCTGTATTTACAGATTGTTAGTGTCCCAGCTGTTAGGCAGTGACCCACTCACTACACATAGACATGCACACACTGTTTCTCCCATGATGCTGAATGGACCCGAAGAAAGGAAGACCTCAGTATTGCTACTGGACAGTAGAGAGTTGCCGGCATCACAGGCAAGAAAAGGCACCAGTGAGACACCCTGAGATGAGAGAAAACCTCTTTTAAAATGTAGACAAACTTGGTTGGTATAGGTTAATATTTCTCACTCAAAATGCATATATATAACATCCACAAGTGTGAATGCTTCAAAAGCAAAAGGGGGGGGAATACCACCCAACAACCAATGACAATTGGATAAAGAGTATTTTGTGAGAACTTTGCCCCTCCCATGTATTGATTTTGCCAATAAAGGCAATGAATGGTGGAGTTCAGGTGGTAATGTGCAAATAAGTTACAAACAGGTAAAAGGGACACAGCAGTGCATCTGTAGAAATCTTTGCGGCATGCTGGTTGCATGGAGGTGTCTATTTGTGAGTAGACACTTCTGCACTCGACATGGGGAGATGGGAGCAAGTTCAGAGCTTAGAAAAGTTCCATTTTTTAATTACAACGCCAAGAATTTGGGGATTATAACAGTTAAAGTCCAAAAAAAAAATATAACTTTTCCAAGCTCTGAGTAGAAATGTCAAAAAAAAAAAAAAAAACCTTTTCCAAGCTCTGAGTAGAAATGGTATGTTTGGCCCTGTTCCACTTATGCATATTTCTGTAATACCTGAAAAAGACACAGAAGTTCACTAAGAATGTGAGAGGACCAGACAACAAGGGTGCAAGAACTGAGAGCTTCCAGTTTAAGAGAACTGAATTATTGAATGACAAATGTTTGGAAGCAGCAGAATTTCTCTCACAATTGGAGAGTTGTGAAATTTGTTGTACCTATCTAGCACCAAACTGGGCGATATCAGACAAAGCTGGTGAACCAGCATGGATCCCCTTTGATAGAGAGAAAAGAGACACTCAGAGGTATGCATTGGAATGTGAGACATAGTGGTGGTGAACTTCTCATAATCAAATATTTATGAAAGAAGTCTGGGACAACCTCAGCATTAAAGAAAAATTGCAGCTGTAACATATCCTTGTCTCTAGCCACACATGTTGAGCCCTTATGAATACATGTATTAAATAAACATATAATAAAATCTAATATTTAATATGTGCCTGTATGTCTAATATGTGACAACAAATGAAAAGTCCACATTCATTACTTTTGCTATGCTAAATTCTTCCAGAGTACTGTCTGCCCAATGCATCAAAAGCACGGGAAAAGCCATCATCAAAGGGAGCCCGCTGGGTAGTATGTAAATCTTGTGAGCTAATTATGACAGGCAATAAGATAAAAATGATGTTAAACAAGCTTTACACACTTGTTGGTGAAGCCACCATTATGAAACTCAAGCATGTCTCATGAATGGAAGGATTTTTTTACTGCACAATAGAAATGTCAACAAAATGTTGTAATGCTTCTCTTCATGGCCAGTCAATGTATTATGTTTTTTCCTAGACACTCCATTGCATTGACATCTCCTGTTGGTTTTTCCCTCGACAGAGGAGTTAGCATTCTATGCATGCTAACTCTTGCTGGCTCATCTAGGCTAGAGAATGTTGCATTAGATTGGCTTTGGTTATATG